ACGGTGGCCTCTCTCCGGTCGGTCTGAAACCACTGGTAAGTGCCTTTATAGACTGCCGAAAAATTGGTTGGTGGCATACTCAGAAACAGAAAACATTGGGGCTAGATGAATTTTCAACAAAAGAGGGTATGAGATGGTTAAGGAAAAAAGTGAAGAAACCTCCACTAGAGGTGGTAGCCAAGCGGAGACTGAATCAAGGTTGCCTGCAACTATCGCAAGAAAACTATACTCTCTATGGATGCAATTCAAGCATCGACCTTCACAACGCCTATCAAGTATCCTGTGGCTGCAGTCCATGATGGCTACACGCTCGGCGGTGTGCCTCGTATCCAAGGGGATGGACATCCCTACCAGCTGTATACGGTGTAAGTGGATGTGGGAAGACTCACGTCACCTATGGTTGACCTGTCCCGCTTCGAGAAGAATTTGGGATTGGTGGATACAGCATTGGGACAGGATCACTAATAGGAAATTCACCTGGTCTGACGACTGGATTCTGAATGGCACTCATGATGCCGCAAATTCGGAACAAAAGAAATGGCTATATGTAGCTCAGGCAGTCCGGGCTATCATAATGAAGATAATCTGGGATGACAGAAATGACCAACTTTTCAAAAGCAGGTTTATATCGCTATTAAGAATCTGATAACCTATAACATAAGGACCACAATCTGTAGTGATTGGATACGGAGGTCCAATAGATGAAGTATGCCTAAAGTTGGGAAATGGTTTTGGGATACCTGGGGTCGAGAATCCAGATTAGTCAAGCTTACTGCAGAAGGCAGGCTGTGCGTTTTGCCCTGGCTTCTCTCCACAGCAGGTCATGGGGAGCGCTGTAGCTTCCCCCCTTGACAGGAAAACCAGAATGGAGAAGCCTGTTGAGGTGGAGAATGGAATGTCTCCCAGTTTTAGTGAACAGAAGTCACTTGGCCATTTTAGCGGCAACCTTTTTTCTAACCTTTTGGAGATTCTTTTTTTTTTTTTAATTTTATTTTATAGAAATAGCATAGTTTCATTATAAAGGCAAAAGGAGGTCGGGAATCCCTCCCACTGCTTCCGATGACGCTGCTGCCAACCTTCTGTCTTCAGTGTGGCTTCCTCGAATTGGTGTAATTGGTGTAATAGGTGATGTATGCCGCTGTAGGGCTGCCAGGATATCCTAGCGCCGAGTGCAAAGGCACTCCCTCCCCCACTCAAGGGGGAGGTGGAAACTACGATACTTTTCCCTCGGGCCGCCATAGCCCCGGGACCTGGCAGGGGGGCGTGGCGATGTCTGATAAGCGTGTCCCTGCCCGGCGCCTTGCCCTACTCGATCGCTGTGTGCAGCGCTAACGCTGCTCATTCGCGCGATCCCCCCAGCTAGGCCCATTAGCTCGATATAGTTGTAGCTAATGGGCCTACAGTCTTCCCCCGAATACAACGTACGGTCATTATAGCTGTATCTAGACTGAAAGACGCCTCAAATACAGCTATAATGACCGTGCGTTGTATTCGGGGGGAGACTGTAGCTCCATTGCACAACAGTCTACATGCAAGAAAACACTCTACATGCATTTGGACGTATTGATGTACCCGATGCCTTCAAAACGTTCGAGTCGTCACGATGCGCCTGGTCCAGAAAGGGTCTAAATGCATGTAGAGGGTTGTGTTGAGGAGCGACGCCCAATCCCATCACTCACATCACGAGTTTTTTTAGGAGTTTTTCGACTGAGTTTTTTGTAGGAGTTTTTCGACTGATTCCTGCGCATAATTACGGCGATATACAGCCGGCTCGGCGGAATTGATCTCAGATACATGAAGTACAGTCGTAGTCCGAGCCTGGGCTTAGACGAGGCCAGAGTGCGGCCATGAGATTTTCTGATCGGAGGGCTCCAAACGACCGATGCTCCGTTCAGCCGCCGGTAGAACTGTGCTCCGGAGTAAGGTCCCACAGGTTGAAAGAGAGATTGGATTGAAACCCGGAATCTGGACGTGATGGGGGAGAGGTGCAGAAAACCGCGATTGACATAGCCCCTGGGGCGAGGTCCCACTAGCAAAGAGGATTGGATTAAGCTCCTGAATCTGGACGCTTTGAGAAGAGATGCAGAAACTCAGTTCAATCTCGATTTTCTGCATCATTCTGCACCATTCCGCAGACACGTCTACATTCAGGCGTTAAATCCAAAATTCTCTTTGCTGATGGGGACCCCGTTCTCCGTTCCAACAACTGTTTCCGTTCATTCGGATTTTGGACACGCATCTGCATAGTTGTCCGAATATTAGGTGCCGTCAATGCGTTCGAGCGAAGCGGGGGAATATTCCCGTGGAGCTCTCCCCGCCGTTTCGCATGGCGCCAATGCGTGCGACTGGTGCGCGAATTAGCAGCGGTGTTGCCGCGGACCCACGCGCGGGGGCAAAGCACTCGTGCGGCTACTCCCGCAACTAGCACGGTACGGCACTACTCTGGCGGGGCAACGAGCGCGCGGGGCAAGCCATCTCGCACTGAATTGGCGCCGATCTCAGTGGCTCTAACGGATATATTGCCATGGCTGGCTCGCTACAGTGCGTCGCCGGTGTTCGAATTGTTTTCGCGGTCGCGGCGGGCACGGTGCATTCAGTGTGGCATACTGTGCGGCATACTGTGCGGCATACTGTGCGGCCATCACCAGGCTGTACACGCTTGGCGGGGAGTCGAGCAGGTTGTCGAGGATCGTTCAGGGCGGGAGAGGAATCGAGACGAATGAACAATGTCCGCAGTCACACTTTTTAGTTTATTTTTGGACGTAATTGCGGTCAGATGCATCTAGGTTCCGCCGTATATGCGGTCAGATACGTGTAAGATAGAGCGAGCTTGAGCACGCCCTCAAAGCATCTTATGATCGAACATTCACAGCATCTCTTGTGACAGTCCCGATCCTTGGTCCATTTGCTTCGGCAGTCCCGCGATTGTAGTGTCCATTGAATATTGGGTCAGATCACACTACCCTGGATTATTCATTTTGGACCCTCGATTACGAAGGTCAACGGTCAGACATGAACAATAGGGGCTAGTGGGATCTGGCCCTTTGTGGACTTCCATAGGCAGATTGCAGTTCCCGCCATCTCGCCTTGGGATCGGCTCGGTGGGGCTGACAGGGAGGAGGATACTCCCGCCATCGCCACCTATGCTCAGATTCTCAATAGAGAGGGAAATCGGATCTTGATAGCTGGGGCAATATGTCGTCGATTGAGGGATCGAACTCTTTTTTCTTTTTTTTTCTTTTTTTCTTTTTTTTCTTTTGAGTGATCGAACTCTCCCGCTATCGAGTAGTCGAACTTGCAAATTTGTTCATAAATTTCATGCTGTCACCCAGTCTGGATCTCGATAGCAGATAGGAGGAACTTTCCCGCCATCGAGTGGTCGAACTTCCCGCACAGTCGGGATCTCGATAGCAGGTAGGAGGAACTCTCCCGCCATCGAGTGGTCGAACTTTCCCGCCATCGACACAGTCTGGATCTGGATAGCAGATAGGAGGATCTCTCCCGCCATCGAGTGGTTGAACTTTCCCGCCATCGACACTGTCTGGATCTCGATAGCTAGCAGGTCCCGCCACCTCGCAGGGAGGAGGATATACTCCCGCTGTTGCCACCTTGCCCAGATTCTCGAGAGAGAGAGAGCTATTATAGTCAGAAAGGTCCCACGAGGACTATTTCTACTAGCTCTGGATGTGACTGCCGTCAGATTCATCCAGGTGTATTCGTAATTGCAGTCAGATACATTTAGGAAAGTGCTAGTGTGAGTACGCCCTCAGTCCCGCAGACCGCAGATGTAGCGTTCACTAAACTTTTTTTTTTTTTCTTTTTATTATTATTATTATTATTATTATTATTATTATTTTCACTAAACTCTTTAGGAGAGAATTTGAAATCGAATCGAGATTTCCGTGAAGCTATTTGACGTGGGAGCTCCCGTCATGATTGCTGGAGGTCCGTGCATAGGCATCGGTGACGAGCGGAAGGAGCAGTCTGTCGCATCTCCACGTTTTTTTTGTTCCTGTCTGAGCCACTGAAGGTCCGCTTATAATAGAATTGGAATCTCAAGAGGAATTGTTGTCTTTTCAATTTCGACGGCCGATCTCACAGAGAGAGAGAGAGAGAGAGAGAGAGAGAGAGAGAGAGAGAGAGAGAGAGAGAGAGAGAGCGCTTACGCCGGTCTCCTTGGCGAAGGGCGTAGTTCACACACACACACACACACACACACACACACACACACACACACACACACACACACA